TGAGGATGGTTTTATATCTGGGTTCTCAGTTCTGTTCCATTGGTCTATGTCTCTGTTCTTGTGCCAGTACCATGCTGTTTTAGTTACTATATCCTTGTAGTATATCCTGAAGTCTGGTAAATTGATGCCTCCCAATTTGTTCTTTTTGTTTAAGATTGCGTTTGCTATGTGGAGTCTTCTCTTGTTCCATATGAAGCATAGAATTATTTTTTCTAGATCTGTGAAAAATGATGTTGATGTTTTAATAAGGATTGCATTGAATCTGTAGATCACTTTAGGTAGTATAGACATTTTAAGAATGTTGATTCTGCCAACCCATGAGCATAGTATGGTTTTCCACCTGTTTACATCCTCTGCTATTTCCTTTCTCCCATGTTTTTCCTTTGGCTCTGACACTATGTTAGGTTTTCCGCCTTGCTTCTTTGTGTGACTTATGATTTGTGATTGAAAGACAGATGTTTTGTATAGGACAATAGAGACTGAGCCAAATAGCATTGAGAGGGAGGTGGTGTGTAAGTCAATCTAGTCTGTAGTCGAGCTTTATTTTGGTCTTGTCGTTTTATCCTCAGTGAAATACAGGCTTCAATTTTGATTTCCAGTCTAAGGTTACTTTTTTTTTTTTTTAAATCGAGTTGGGGTGTCTTTGCTAGAGAATTTTTCTAATGTCTTTTCTACCCTCTTACCTTCTCTTTGTTACCACACCATGGAGAGAGTCTCTAGCTATATACACTGTTGTTATTTATTCCTCAGTGCTTGCTAGCACGATGGTGGATGGACGTGGGAAGTGTTAGGGAGGGGGACATTCTCTGCAGTCCTGTTTCTGCCTTAGTTTTAGGTAGACATTGTGTCCTTGGATCTTTTTTTTTTTTTGTAAATGAAGTGTATTTTATTCTTAAGTAATCTTTTAAAAATTACAATGTTTTTAATCAAGGAAAATCATTAACTACATTAATGTTGGTGAATTACATGCTATAGTCATCATATTTTAATGAATCTTCTCTAATACTTTTAGTTCTGAGTTTGTAGAAAGTAGTTGCTGCTGCTCTGGTTAAAAAGCTTTCCAACTGGTGTGTTCATCTATAATTTTTTAAGAACAATTTTTATAATAGTGAAAAGTAAATGTTCTCCTCATAGAAACTCTGGCAAAATATCTTGGCTTTTGCTCAGAATTTAAAAGCAAATGGGAATCAGTTTGAAATATTAGAAAAGTCAAGAAACTGATTCTAGCTCTGGCTCTGTCATTGACTGCCTCTTAATTTCTTCATGTTTTAAATGAGGGGAATATATTAGTTAATTTCTAAGACCTCTTTCAACTCCACTACCATTTTTTATTGATAATATTTATTAAGAAGAAATAGCAAGATCTGTTTATGGATTGTGTGTCCTTGCATCTTGAGGGTGAGACTTTCTTAGTGATCCTACTTCTCCCCAGTAGTAGGGAAACTGTAAAGATCTGGGGCCATTATGTTTTCCTGCCCCTCCCCAGTAATAAAGTTTTTTTTTTTCTGTTATTTTCCTCCATTTGGGGGTGGGTGGTGGGCCAAGTAAAAATAGTTATTCCACAGAGTGTGTTTGTTCTGTTCTTTTTATATTTTTTTATGTTCTGATCAGCAGCCATCTCCCTTGGCTAGTTTTTGCTAGGTTGAGTTTATCACTGGCAGTAGAGATAGATAATTTTTGACATCAGCTGTCAGGGTGTTGCTAAATATATTAATATTTATAAATATCACCTGGTGAATATATATTTTCAGTTTTCTTATTGACCATTTAAGTTTTATTCTTGAATTATTTTTTAATCATGCATTTCTATTGACAAAATTCTGCATAGCAGATGCTAGGCACTCAAAAAGAATTGGTGAATGAATGAATTTATTGTGATTGCTGTTACTGTACCTTTCCATGTATAGTTTTTTTTAAAAATAGACATTATTCCCTATGAACTTATGCATAGATTTTGTTCTTTCTTTCTGATTAGTATAATACTTATTTCTGAGAGTATAAAAAAAAAGTCTTTGAGATCTCTTAGAACTTCTGAACATTGCTATAGATTGTCTTTCTTTCCAATCAAAATAATGTGTATAAATTTTACTGGTGTTGAAGGAAGTTCTGTAATTGCACGGAATCCTTATCTCTTTATCGTGGCTATTGAAGGAAGACTTTTATCCTGTTGGACCTTGATGAGGACTCCAAAGAGAAAGAATAAATATTCAGTTGTGTGAGTCTGTAATATATAGATGCTCCTCAACTTACCATGTCATTACAGCCCTATAAACCCATCATAAGTTGAAAATGGTGAGTTGAAAGTGTATTTAATATACCTAATGTACCAAACATCATAGCTTAGCCTAACCTCTTTTAAATGTGCTCAGAACACTTATATTAGCAGTTTGCGGAATCATCTAACATAAAACCTGTTTTGAGTTAAAGTGTTGAATATCACATGTAATTTATTGAATACTGTACTGAATTATGATTTCTCCTGAATGCATATCATTTTTGTGCCATTGTAAAGTTGAAAAATTGTAAGTTGGGGACCGTCTGTATGTATTTTAGGGTAGATGAGCATATTCTTTGCAATAACAAGGTGGAAAAGAGGAAGAAGAGGGAGAAACTTAACATCTTTTTACTAAAATCTACCAGGGCCTTATCTGGAGATGGAGACAAGATTTGTTAAAGATGATAGCCACCTGAAATTCCTCAAAAAATGAAACATCTCCTGAGGTTGACTATCATTTTCTTCCAGGTGATTTACTGTTCTTTTGGCGGAACATCCAAAGGGCTGCACTTCAATAACTTAATAGTTGGACTTGTCCTCCTTACAAGAGGCAGAGATGAAGAGAAAGCAAAATGTAAGTACTTTTATTGTCTCAAAATAACGATACCATATCTGATGGCAGAATAATTTACTTCAAAATTCTGATGACAAGCAAAGGATTTGAATTGACATTTCTCTAAAGAAGATATACAAGTGGCCAATAGGCACTTGAAAATATACTCAACATAATTAATAGAGAAATATAAATTTAAAGTACATTGAGATACTGCTTCACATCTACTAAGGTGGCTAAAATTAAAACGTCAGATAATAACAAGTGTTAGGGAAGATGTGGAAAAATTGTAGTGCACATTATACATTGCCATAGGAATGTAAAAAAGTGCAGCCACTTTGAAAACCAGTTTGGCAGTTCCTCAAACTGTTGAACATTGAGTTACATGGCCCAGCAGTTTCTACTTCTATGAAAGTTCAATACACATATTTACCCAAAACAAATCATGTATGCAAATATTTATAGCAGCATTGTTCATAATAATCACAAAATGGAAACAACCCTTATGTCTATCAGCTGATGAATGGATAAACAGAACATGATTATCCATACAATGGAATGTTATTCTACAATAAAAAGGAATAAAGTACCAGTTCATGCTGCAACATGGACGAACCTAAAAACATTTTGCTGAGAGATAGATGCCAATCACAATAGGCCACATATTATACGATCCCATTTATATGAAATTTCCAGGTTACGCAAATCAGTAGTGCCAGAAAGTGTTAGATTAGTAATTGCCTGGGGTTCAGGGAAGAGGGAAATGGAGAGTGATGGCTAATGGGCACGGGATTTCTTTTTGGGTTGATGAAAATGTTCTGGAATTAGATATTGATGATTTATCTATTTTTTTGAGATGAAGTCTTATCTGTCACCCAGGCTGGAGTGCAGTGGCAAAATCATACCTCACTATAGCCTCAAACTCCTAGGCTTAAGAGATCCTTCCACTTTAGCCTCCCAAGTAGCTAGGATTACAGGCACGCACACCACCATGCCTGACTTTTCCTTCTTCTTTTTGTAATCTGTCTGCTATGGTCTGAATGTTTGTGTCTCCTTCAAAATTCATATGTTGAAATCTTAACACCCCAGTGTTGAAGGTATTAGGAGATGGTGCTTTGGGGAGGTGAGTAGGTCATGAGGGTTAATTATAAGTGTCTCTTGGATAAGATTAAGTGTCCTTATATTATAAAAGAGGCCCTAGAAAGACCCTTCATCATTTCCGCCATTTGAGGATGCAATGAAAAGATGGCTGTCTATGAACCAGGAAGTAGTCCCTCAACAGACACCAAATTGGCTGGCTCCTTGATTGTGTACTTCCCTGCCTCTAGAGCTGTGAGAAATAAATGTCTGTTGTTTATAAGCCACTCTGTTTATGGTATTTTGTTACAGCAGCCTGAGCAGACTAAGACATATCTCTCGGAATCCTCTCTTGCTCCTGAATTTAGACTGTTCTTCTTAATCCTTGCCATGGTTTGAAGGTGTTACCCAAAGTTCATGTATTGGAAACTTAATCCCCAATGTAACAGTGTTGAGAGGCGGGACCTTTAAGAGAGGATGAAGTCATGATGGGTCTGCCCTCATGAATGGATTAATACTGTTATGTCAGGAGGGAATTGGTTATTGAGGGAGTGGCGTCCTTATTAAGAATGAGTTCAGCCCCCTTCCCTCTCTCTTACATGTGCTCTTTTGCCCTTCTGCCTTCTACCATGGGATGATGGAAGAGCAAGAAGGGCCTTGCCAGATGCAGGCCTCTCGACATTGGGCTTCTCAGCCTCCAGAACTGTAAGAAACAAATCTCTGTTCATTATAAATTTCCCGGTCTGCGGTATTCTGCTATAGCTACACAAAACAGACTAAGAGAATCCTTTAAAAAAAAAAAAAAAGTTTTATTGAGGTATAACTGACATATAATAAAATGCAGATATATAAAATGTACATTTTGATGTTTTGCCATGTGTATACACCCACTGACCATCACCATAATCAACATAATGAACATATCCATAAACTCAGTTTTATTTATTGGAATATAATTGTGATGCTGGTTTTTCCGCAGTAGCATCCCCCCACCAGCACACATACACACTGGCTCCTGTCAGTGGTAATTAAAAATACAAATGTAATTAACGTAATTAAAAATACAAGTGTGGTATGTGCCGATTGTCCCAGCTACTTGGGAGAATGAAGTGGGAGAATCATCTCAAGGGCAGGAGTTCAAGGCCCCTGTGTACTATGCTCAGGCCTGTGAATAGCCACTGCAGTCCAGCCTGGGCAACATAGTGAGACCCTGTTTCTAGAAAAAATAAAAATAAAAAATATTGTCAGCTTGCCTTATCTATGACTTGCTTATCTACAGATTCAACCAATTTTGGATTGAAAATATTTGAGGAAAAAAATAATGCAAAAAACCAATACAACAATTAAAAATAATACAAATTAAAAACAGTACAGTATAGTAGCTATTTATATAGTGTTTACATTGTATTAGGTATTATAAGTAATCTAGAGATGATTTAAAGTATACAGGAGGATATATGTAGGTTATATGCATACACCGTGTCACTTTGTATAAGGGACTTGAGCATCCATGCATTTTGATATCCTTGAGGGTCCCAGAGCCAGTCCCCTGTGGATATTCAGGTACGACTGACTAGTAATAAGTTTTTGGGTCACAAACACATTTTTAAAGTTTCTTCATTTTTATTTACAGTTGTATTAATATCTTAGGGGTGCCATAACAAAGCACTACAAACTGGGTGACTTAAACAACAGATATATTCATTATCTCATGGTTCTGAAGGCTAGAAGTTAAAAATCAGAGCGTCATCAGGGCCATGCTCTTTCTGAAAACTGCAGAGGAGAATTCTTTCTTCTTTGCTTTTGGTGATGGCTCACAATCCTTGGCAATCCTTGGCCTGCAACTGTGTCATTCCAATCCCTGCCTCTCTTGTCACGTGGCTGGCTTGCTTTTGTGTCTGTCTTCTCCTCTTTTTATAAAGATGGCAGTCATATTAGATTGGGTCCCACCTTAATGGCCTCATCATAACTTGATTACGTCTACAAAGACTCTGTTTCCAAATAAGTTCACATTCACTGGTACTTTAAAGTTAGGACTTCACAATATCTTTTGGGGGCGCATATAATTCAACCTATAACAACAATATTTCAAACATACTTATAATATGTACTTCCATGTAGCTTTATTTCTTAACATTGTGTCATTTTTGTCCCAGATCTTGATTTTTTAAAAAATAAAATATTACAGCTAAGGTAAGGCTGTCTTTGTATCCCTTCAGGATCCCATTCCTGTTCTTTCCTACAGAGGTTACTACTCTTCATGAATTTGGTGATCTTTCATTCCTTATGCAGGTTTTTATACATTTATAACATGTTATATATCCTTAAATATATCTTCATCTATTTTGTAGGTTTTATACTTTTTAATAAATGGTATACATTAGTCCCCCCTTATCTGCATTAGATACATTCCAAGACCCCTCCCAGTGTATACCTGAAACCACAGCAGTACGAAATTCTATATATACATTGTTTTTTCTTATCCAGATATACCTGTCATAAGGTTTAATTTATAAATTAGGCTAAGAGATTAACAATAACTAATAATAAAATAGAACAATTATAACAATGTACTGTAATAAAAGTTATGTGATTCTGGTCACTTTTTCTCTCTCAAAATATCTCATTGTACTGTACTAATTCTTCTTGTGATCTGTCCATCTGATAACCAAGACAGCTACTAAGTGACTAATAGGCGAGTAGCGTATACAGTGTGGATATGCTGGACAAAGGGATTATGCATGTCCCAGATAGGATGGAGAGGGAGGCAAGAGATTTCATTATGTTACTTAGAACAGTGTGCAATTTAAAACCTATGAATTGTTTATTTCTGAAAATTTCCATTTCACTTTTTTGGACCTCTGTTAACTGTGGGTAACTGAAACCTCAGAAAGCAAGACGTGGATAAGGAGGGGACTAGTACTACACAGATTACTTTGTAATTTGCTTTTCCCCGAATATTATATTTTTTATATTTATCCATCTTGAAACATGTAATTCCTTTATTTTAACGTCTATGTAGTATTTTATTGTGTGTATATCTCAGTTTACCTATTACTGATAGACATGTATCTTTTTTTCTAATTTTTGCTCTTACAAACAATACTCCAGTGAACACCTTGTATCTTGTACACAGGTATCAGTTTTTCAAGTGTGGAAGTGTAATTTTGTGGAAGTGGAGTTTCTAGTGTGCATCTTCACCTTCACTAGAATTTTCAAATTACTCTCCACGGTAATTTATGCTCCTATTAACAATATATTGGAGCTTCTGTTTCTCCCAATCCTTGCTAACACTTGGTATTGTTACACCTAAGCATTTTTGCAAATTTGGCATATTTGGAGAGAAGTCACATTGCTGTTTTAATTTGCGTTGCTAGGTTATTTTGAGGAATAAATTAAATTATAAAGTGCTCGGCCCTAGTAATCAATTATTGATACCTTTCTCTTCTCTCACTGTTTGCATGAGGGTATATTTGATCTATGTTAAGATTAATTTATTCTATCTTTCTTTCTCTTAGACATTTTCAGTCTTTTTTCAAGTGAATCTGGGAGCTATGTTGTACGAGAAGAAATGGAAAGAATGCTCCATGTAGTGGATGGTAAAGTCCCAGATACACTCAGAAAGTGTTTCTCAGAGGTATATTTTACATTTCACGCCTTCTTATTGACAAAGTATTACCTTTAGTTGTATAATATTAATAAGTTTAGCTATGATGAATAGATGTTTATATGCAGAATATTCTTGGCATTTTTGTATTTAATGATTGATATTTCAACTGTTTACGTGCTATATTCAGAGGTTCATGACTCTCATTACTGCTATATTTGTGAATCTGAAAATTCTTAATTCTACTGTAAACCAACTGTTTATACTTAGAGTATAAGGAAACATATTCCTGTGCTCTCAGTCCCACACATAGCAACATATACACATGCATACACACAATCCTGCAGGAACCTCATGTTGTAGTGCCCTTGTTTTTTATCATGGATATGTAGGTATATCATTCATTGGCCTTGAGCCATTCTGTGACCTATTTTATTAAGGCCTATTTTATCATTTATTTTACTTAGTTGATTTGCATAGTAAAATACTTTGGTTAAAAATTGTCTTTTTTTTCTGTTTGCAAAAATAATATATTTTCTAGTATCTAACAATAGAAATGATAGAAAATTAAACAATAGCAAATGTGTATCTTTAATAGAGAAAATTATTTTTCTTCTCAGAGGTCTGCTAATATGTGAAAAGTCCCTAGAGATGGTAGAGTAACAACTTCTTCAGAAATTTCTGATCCTTTCATGTAGCACTCAGTACTGCACAATTTCTTACAGGTGGCTATTTGACCTACCTCCGTTTCACCAATATAATAATCCGTTGCTGCTCTTGGTATTATTCAGGGAGTTTAGCTCCACCTTCCTGTCTATATAGGCACTGATTATCTATACTTCATCCATATGCATATTCTAATATCTCTTTGGGCTGTCTTATCTTTAGCTTCTCATCAATTTGGCTTTGAGTTTCTTCTGTGTTCCTAGCACCTGGTGATATCTCTTTTTTGCTTTTGAGCTTAGCTGTGCAGTGTTTGGTGGTGGTTATGGTGTTACATTTTATCCAGCATTTCTATGTGTAAGGTACAAAAGGATGGGTTTCTTTTGGTTCTTGACATATTGACTAGAAATTGCTATGATAGTATTTTAGTACTTCAAGACAAACTGGGCCATGGCGTATTTGTTTGTTTTTTCCCTGTAATAAAATTTTGCCTGTCAGAAGAAAAGGTGTTTTTGCAGATCTTATTAATTGGATTTTTCATAGAGATGTCAAATATATTAATAGTCTGCATTTTTTCAGGAAGAATATGTATATTTTTTTCATTTTAATAAGGTTTAGGTAAACACTTCCATTTCGTAGATGGGAATTACATGTGGTTGGTCACCTAATTCTCTAAAATTGAGGCACAACTGAAGGTATATGTATTCATTGAGAATTAGTGCTATAGGGAAAAATAAAGTAGAATAGATGAATAGGTGGCAATAGGAAAGAGGCAGTTGAGTGTTATTATTTTATATAGGATGGTTAGACCTGTCAGATAGAGTGAAATTTGAGTAAAAAATTTATAGGAAGTGAGAGAGAAAACCATGAAGATAACTGAGGGAAGGACTTTTCATGAAAAGGATACAGCAAAGGCCCTGAGGTAAGAGTATACTTGGGATGTCCAAGGAATAATAAAAAGGCCAATTTAGTTGAAATGGAGTGGGCAAGGGAATAGTGAGAAATGAAGTTACTGAAATTATTGAGGAGTTAGGAGGTAGATTATATATGCCCCTATGGGACATTGTTGCATCCTTTGACTTTTACCCTGAGTGAGACGGAAACCACTGGAGGGTTTTGAGCAGAAGAATAACATAATATGAGGTGCTTTTTTGAAAAACATGATCATGTTAGATCTTATGTGGCTGAACTGAGTCCAGTTGAGGTATCTGAATAATCCAGGTGAGAGGGGATGGTCATTTAGACCATAGTGTAGCAGTGAGTGATAAGTTTTTAGGTTCTGCATTTATTTTAAAGGTGGACTTAACAGAATCTTTTCTTGTGTTGATTAGGGACTGTGATAGAAGGAGTAGAAGAAGGATGACCAAAGTGTTGGCCTGATTTCGTAAAAGAATATCGTTGCTGTTAACTGAGATGGAGAAGGAGCTTTGGGGGTTGGATGCCAAGAGAGATTTAATTAAATTCAAGGATCCTATTAGACATTCAATTTGAGTTGTCAGCCATGCTTTTTGATAGATAAGTCTGTTGTTCAGGGGAAAGGATTTATTGATTTATAGGTGAATAGAAATTTATAGGAAGTGAGAGATAAAACCATGAAGATAACTTAGGGAAGAACTTTTCATGAAGAGAATACAGCAAAGATCATCTGTGAGTGAGTTAAGATAGAAAACAGATTGGCAGAATGAGTCCTGTAATCCAGTGTTTAGAGTTTGGAGAGATAAAGAGGAATCAAAACTGGAGATTAAGGAATGGCCTGTGAGATAAGAGATTACCCAAAGAGAATAGTGTCCTGCAGGCCAGGTGATGAAATGTTTCAAGAAGGAAAGAGAGCTCAACTATGTCAAGTATACTGAAGTGAGTTGACCTTTGATCACTGAGATTTGGCAATATGGATGTTGGTCATTGGTGTAGATCCTGTGGAATTTAAAAAAAAAATCACTGGAGGCTGGGTGCGGTGGCTCACACCTGTAATCCCAGCACTCTGGGAGGCCAAGGTGGGAGGATCACTTGAGCTCAGTAGTTCAAGACCAGCTGGAACAAGAGCGAGATCCCATCTCTACTAAAAATAGAAAAAATTAGCTGGGTGTGGTAGTGCGTGCCTGTAGTCCCCATTACTCGGGAGGCTGAGGCAGGAGCATTGCTTGAGCCCAGGAGTTTGAGGTTGCTGTGAGCTAGGCTGATGCCACGGCACTCTAGCCCAGGTAACAGAGCAAGACTCTGTCTCAAAAAAAAAAAAAAAAAAAAATCACTAGAGTCAGGATAGTAGAGGAGAATATGTTCATAAGAGGAAATCAAGATAGGAAAGTAGAATGCTTAAAATTTCAATTATGGGAAGGGGAACAGTTATTGTAGTAAAAAGATTATAAGACCGTGGTAGTAAGTGCCTAGGTTGTTGTTGTTAATGACAAGATCTTTAGAAGAGAAAAGATCAAAGAAATGTGAAGCCAAGTTTTAGAAGGCTCATGTATATGGCTATTTGAATTATTAGATTCCTTTGGTATAAAAGCAATACTGTAAGTGGGCTAATGCTATCTGATTCAACTATTTGATGTATTTAGCTGCTCTAATTTCTGAGTAATGTGCCTGATGGTTGCATCCAGACCCTTGCTATCCAAGTATTTATATTAGAATAGGTTTATTCAGACTTTCTGTGACAATGCTTTGTGTTATTGTTTGCATTAAAAACAAAACTATAAAGACAAGCACTTTAGATAAAAGATACAGCCCTAGCACCTACATTTAAGTGATAGGGGTTTCAGCTTTTTTTAATCCTGTGCTTTATTGGCCTTGAGTTATAAAGGAATCCACCCAGAAGTTGTATTAAGTTTTTTTCTTACTGGTTTTCTTTTGGATTGTTGATTCTTAAAGTGGAAATTAATATTTTACCAGTTTTAGGAGTCTGTTTATTTTTATTTTATTTTTTACCTGTTAGCTCATTTTATTAAAGGGAAACTAAGGCACAAAGAAATAGAACCACTAAATCAGTATCACATAGACCATGACCGTCAGATGAGAATCACCAGATTTCTGTCTGCAGCCACAGATCTTCCTTCTTAGGCGTCCACTCCAGAAGCTGGAGATTCTGGTGTGTGTCCTTCATGATGACACTTTTATCATAAGGTGGCATTCCTTGGACAGTGAGATGTATGAGCCCCTGGCGTCTCACTTAGACTCTGCCCAGTTTGGACAAATTCGATCAAACTTTAGTTGTGTTTCTTGTGGTAGATAAACAGTCAAAGCTTCCTTGTCAGTCCCAGGCTGGTGTTGTCCAAGGACAACAGGATTCTCACTTTACATGGTGTCAGGAGGAATGGCATAAGACCCTGTGGCTAAGAATCTTTTCCTGATGACCAATTCATATGTTCCTGAAAGTTACAGAAATGACGAAGGCATGGTCCCTACCCCAGGGAACATAAAGTATTTACCAGTTTATTACAAAGGATACAGATGAAGAGATGCGTAGGGTGAGGTATGGGGGAAGGGGCATGGAGCTTCCTTGCCCTTCCTGGGTGCTCCAACCTCCGGGAACTTCCACATGTAAGCTATCTGGAAGCTCCAGGAGTCTGTTTATTTTCAATTGCCTTTTCTGGTATTGGAACTATTTCTTGACCACCGTTGCAACAATTTATAAAAGAATTCTTTTCCTTCACTTCCGTTTTTGGAAGAGATCCATGACTCAAAAACAAAAAATCAGATTTGACAGATGGAATTTTGGTGCTACCAGCTTTGTGGGAATGATTCCCAATGGGCAGGTGGCTTTCAGATATTACTTTATATTTTACTCGTAGACAAGACAACGTGGTGTATAGTTTAGGCACAGGGACTTTGGAGCCTGGACCACCTGGGTTTAATCCTCTCTCTGCCACTATATAACTTTGGGCAAATTACTTAACCTTTTGGTGTCAAAGTTTTCTCATGTGTAAAATGGGGATAATAATGGTGTCTCTGGCTGGGTGCGGTGGCTCACACCTGTAATCTCAGCACTTTTTGAGGCTGAGGTAGGACGATTGCTTGACGCCAAGAGTTCAAGACCAGCCTGGGCAACGTAGCAATACCCTGTCTCTTTAAAAAAAAAAAAAAAATAGCCAGGTGTGGTAACACAGGCCTATAGTCCCAGCTACTCGGGAGGCTGAGATGTGAGGATTACCTGAGCCCAGGAGTTTGAGGCTGCAGTAAGCTATGATCAGACCACTTCACTCTAGCCCACGTGAATGAGTCAGACCTTGTCTCTAGAAAAATAATAACAATGAAAGTGTCTCCTATAGAGACTGCTTTGAAGATTAAATTAATATTTAAAGTATTTAGGGCAGTTCTGAGGACATTGTAAACACTCAGTAGATATTAGCTATATGTGACAGTGGTAGAAGGGCCCATTATACATTGGCATCTTTTTTTCTTTCTTAGTGGCACATATGCAATTATAAAATTGAGATATCCTAGATTCACTGAAATCATTGAAGTCACATTATTTCCCTGAATCTAAAAATGCTATCAATTATAAGAAGTACCTTTATGTATCACTCTGAGTAGAAAAAACAAACTTTTTTTCCTACTCTATTCTCACAACACAGATCACTTTCTGTGATCTCTTGTTATCAAAATATGTGTGGGGATTTCTCCCCACCAGCAGTGTATTCTCTGGTGGATTCTTTTGTGGGCATAAGCCCGGTTTCCTCTAATTTAATTCAGCTATGACACTGTCTACCTAGAGATAACATCAGATCCCACAGGGTGAGGGATTAGTCCCATGAGACTGCCCCTAGATGCCAATCACAAGTAATAGGCTGACACCTATACCTCTGACAAATAGGCTATGAAATGGGGTTCCTGAGACCCCCTCCTTGGGTTCAGTTAATAGGACAGCTCTCAGAACTTGGGGAAATACTTAAGTTTATTGGTTTATTATAAAGGACATTACAGAGGATACAGATGAACAGCCAGATGAAAGAGATGCATAGGGCAAGGTATATGGGAAGGTATGTGGAGCTTTCATGCCCTGTCCAGGACACCACCCTTCAGGAACCTGCATGTGTTCAGCTAAGTGGAAGTTCCTTGAACAACTCAGTCCTTTCATTTATTTGTTTGTTTTTTGTTTTTATTTTCTTTTGAGACAAGGTCTTGCTCAGTTGCCCAAGCTAGAGTGCAGTGGCATCATCATAGTTCATTGCAACCTCAAATTCCCAGGCTACTCCTGCCTCAGCCTCCCAAATAGCTGGGGGTACAGGCACATACCACCACACCTGGCTGATTTTTAAATTTTGTACTGAGATGAGGAGGGGGGATCTCTCTATGTTGCTCAGGCTGGTCTCAAACTCCTGGCCTCAAGCAATCCTCCGGCGTGGCCTCCTGAAGTACTAGGATTACAGTTGTGAACCGCTGTCCCTGGCCCCTTTTGTGTTTTTATGGAAACTTCATTAATAGTCATGATTTATTGAATCATTGATCATTGGTGATAAACTTAATCTTCAGTTCTCTCCCCTCCCTGGAGATTGGAGGTTGAGGATGGGACCGAAAGTCCCAACTCTTTAATCATTCCTTGGTTTTTCAGGTGACCAGCCCCCATCATGTGGCTATCCAGAAGCCCCTAGTCATACGTCAATTCATTAACATGCAGAGAAAAACTTACCACTTTGGATATGGCAATGATTTTAGGAGTTGTATGCCAGGAAACAGAAAGAAGACCAAATATATATTTCACAATATCACAACCACTAAGAAAAAACTGCCAATTATAATTGAAGGATGCTGTTGATTTTAAGACTTATCCCAATGTCAAGAGATGTTAACATGTGTAAAAATGTGTGTCAACTCATGGAATGTATACTGCTAAGCCTCTTTCTAGACTAAACGTGGGATAGAGAAAAAATATGGGTTGGATCTGTAATCTCTAAACATTTTGGCAATGTTCTCATGGGTCTCTGCAACAAGTCTCAATGCCATTGTTGAAGTGAAAATAAAAATGTAGAGATGAATCTTTAAGTTTAACATTTTATTTAGGAAGAAAGAATTGCAATTCCTGGGCATACATGCAGACCAGGTGTTCTTTGGTGTGTCCAAAGAACAAAGAGAAGGTTGGAGATTTTATAAAAAAGGGGAATGTTACATGTGGTCCTAAGAGAAAGTTAATGATATTAGTAAAGCTAATGCCAATAGCTTGGGGAGCTGGCAAGATCCAATTGGTTGGCAACATTGACCATGGTAGAGTGGTGGTAGAGTTGCAGCAAGTTATCTTACCAACTATAGATAAAACTGATCTCAGGTTACAACAGGCAGTTTCAGCAGCCACACTTGCAGAGAATTACATTTCTAGAGCAATACTGTGTACCCCGAGTGCTTTTTCCCCCTGGCTCCTTGACACTGGTTTAGTTGGTTGTGGCAAGAATGACCTCATTTGTATGATCAACTTTCACACCATATTCTTCCATTCAGAAAAACAAGACTGTCAACGATGTCTTGATTGTTTGGATTGCACTGATGATGTTAAATGTTCTGAAACCACTAGGTGACATATTGCTGTATTTAATACGATGCTAATAAATAATGTAGAGATTGTTTCTACCATATCTCTTTTAGGTTCCTAGTTATTTGTATTCTTTAATATCTCTATTAGGATTAGAGCTGCTAAAATGTCATTCTTCATTGTATTTCCATGTGAGAATTCTCCCATTTTCTCTTAGAAATATTTGACCCTCACTAAACCTAGGATCTCTTGTCTTTTAAGCAAAGGTATTGGCTTGCACAGCCATGTGAGGCTCTTTTTTAGCCTGGATACGTACTTTTATTCTCCAGAGATTTATCAAAACAAATACGTTAAAAGAAAGCAAAGAAATAGAAATCAACTTCCTTCTCTTTGTACTCTACTTGACTTGTGGATATATGTTTTCAGTGATGCCTTCTGTGATCCTGATTGCCCTCTCTAGGAAGACTCATGTATAGTTGTTTTTAATTTACAGATGAAATGTAAAAGAGCTTTTAAATTCCATACAGATTTAATTAAAATATACTAATTGAAACAGATTGAGGGGAGTGATAATGAAGAGAGATACGGCAAGTGAAAAATTGGATTTATTAAATGTTGAAAGAAATGCAGTTTACTGATTTTTTTTTTTTTTTGAGACAGAGTCTCACTTTGTTGCCCGGGCTAGAGTGAGTGCCGTGGCGTCAGCCTAGTTTACAGCAACCTCAGACTCCTGGGCTCAAGCCATCCTCCTGCCTCAGCCTCCCAAGTAGCTGGGACTACAGGCATGTGCCACCATGCCCGGCTAATTTTTTTCTATGTATTTTTAGCTGTCCAATTAATTTCTTTCTACTTTTGGTAGAGATGGGGGTCTCGCTCTTGCTCAGGCTGGTCTTGAACTCCTGAGCTCAAACAATCCGCCCGCCTTGGCCTCCCAGAGTGCTAGGATTACAGGCGTGAGCCACTGCGCCCGGCCTGTAGTTTACTGATTTTAAGATATATCTTAGCAAATAAAATGTGGCTTATTATTGGTAATGGACTGCCTTAATGAATTGATGAAATAATTTGCAATTAACATATAGATTTTATGCAAATGGAAGATCTGAAGTATAATTATTTTTGAGGACAGTTTGATTTCCAAGTATATGTACCCTGTAGTGTTATTTAGATAATCCTTCCTTTGTAGGTTGTAGAAAGGTAAATGTCAACTAATTGCAAACTTCAGGTCATGCAGGTTACAAGTAAGATACTTAAAATTTGACTAAACTTTTTTTTTTTTTTTAAATTTTAGGGTGAAAAGGTAAACTATGAAAAGTTTAGAAATTGGCTTCTTCTAAACAAAGATGCTTTTACTTTCTCTCGTTGGCTACTATCTGGAGGTGTGTATGTTACCCTCACGGATGATAGTGATACTCCCACTTTCTACCAAACTCTGGCTGGAGTTACACATTGTAAGTAATGGCATTTCATTGTTTTCTCTTTATCTTTTAACATAATTGCCTGGTAATATAGGAATATGCTTATAAAGGAGAAATTTTTTGTCAGTGTTTTCTTCCAAAATATAATAAAATGAAATGCGGGAGCATGGAAAACATAGCGCTTTATGAATTGTTCTTAACCAAGCTATATTAGTTTCCTAGGGTTGCTGTAACAAATTACTACAATTCATAAACTGGAACGAGAAATTCACTCTCAGTTTTAGCAGCTGAAATCCAAGTGTTTACAGGACCACATTCCTTCTGAAGTACCTCGGAATTCTTTGCCTCTTCCACTTTTTGGTGACCCCAAGTATTCCCTGGCTTGCGGCAGCATAATTCCCATTCTCTGCCTCTGTCTTCCCATGGCCTTTTCTGTGTATTTCTGTGTTCTTTCCTTGTACAAGGACACCAGTCATTGAATTTAGGGCCCAGCCTAAATCTAAGATGATTTCACCTCAAGATCCTTAATTCATTATATCCATAAAGACCCTATTTCTATATAAGGTCACATTCCCACTTTCCAGTTGATCATGAATGGGAGACAATTTTCAATCTGCTACACAGGTCTAAGTGTTCATTTCTACTGTTCTTCTTTCTAGTAGTCACAGAAAACTACTTATGCTCTGCTTTTCCTAATACTTCCTCTCACTGAAATGCCTTTCCCTTTGCGTCTACCTATTAAATCGTAGTAGTCATCCTTGAAGACTTAAATCACATTACCCCTTTTTTTCATGAAAACTTTTCTTGCGTTCCTATCAGAAATCATCTCTCCTTCCTCTGAACTCTCATAGTACCTTATTTGTACTGCTGTTCAATGAACTTATCCCTTTCATCCTTGTATTATAATTATTTATAGCATTCTGCTTATTTGTATATGTCATCGCTCCTAAATCATAGAATCTTTTCAGGCACAGAGTCTATGTTATTATTTTATCCTTCTCCCCCTAATGCTAAGCCTAAATACATATTTGTTGAATGAATAGAGGAATTTTGGTGTCAAGTGCTATTTGTATCTATTGCTTTATGTGACTTATAACTTGACTGCTAATTACACACCAGCTACCCTCTCCCATTTTCATTCTTTTGTTACCAGAAATTCTGACCAATAAATTCTGGCATGAATAGACAATGAGCTTGATTCTACTACTGTTAAGAGGCTCTTGTCTTTATTTTAGGTAGGAAGGCCTTTTAAAAGAATTCTTTTGCATAAAAAATTGAGGAAACCTTTTTATACTCACTGTAAGCTCTATTTAACTTACCTTAATATTTAAGTTGTCAGTCACATGTATTCTGTTGAACTTTCACTTTCCTTTGTGATTGTATGCTGAATTATTTTTATATTAATATTGGCTAAGAGTATGACTGCCTTCCTTGAGTGCCTTGTTGTGTTAAAAAAAAAAATTAAAAACACTTGTTAAAACAGTAAGTATTGGCTGGGCGCGGTGGCTCACGCCTGTAATCCTAGCACTCTGGAAGGCCGAGGCGGGTGGATCGCTCAAGGTCAGGAGTTCGAGACCAGCCTGAACAAGAGCGAGACCCC